TGCTTTCAATGGCTGACTTGGGCCTCTCAGTTTCTACACTGCCTTTGATGGCAGCTGTCTTTCTTGTGGGCCAGAGGAAGGTGAGAGCTGCAACCTGCTTTATGCAACTCTTCTTCATTCACACTTTCTCAGTCATTGAGTCAGCTGTGCTTTTGGCCATGGCTTTTGACCGCTGTGTGGCTATCCGAGAGCCCTTACGCTATGCCACCATTCTCACAACCAAGCGCATTGGGGCCATTGGGCTGGCCATTGTGACCCGTAGTGCTGCCCTTCATCTGCCCCTGCCTGTGCTCCTTACAAGACTACAATTTCAGCCTGTGAATGTTCTGTCTCATTCTTACTGTGTTCACCCTGATGTTCTAAGGCTGGCCATATCCAGCACTGTTGTGAACAGTGGCTTTGGGCTCTTTGTTATGCTTTCCACTTTGGGGACAGATGCTGTACTCATTCTCCTTTCTTATGTACTGATCTTGAAGACAGTATTAAATATTGCTTCCAATGCTGACAGGCTCAAAGCTTTCAACACCTGCATTTCCCACATCTGTGTTGTACTACTATTTTATACCCCACTAGTCAGCCTGTCCATAATCTATCGCTTTGGGAAAAAGAAACTACCAGCTCAGGTATATATGCTTCTCTCCTATCTGCACTTTCTTGTACCTCCAATGCTCAACCCAATTGTCTACAGTGTTAAAACCAAAGAGATTCGGGTACGTATTCTGAAGATGCTTCACTCCAAAATGTTCTGAGCCCCAGGGACAAAATACTCATTGTGATAGGCAGCCTGCTGATTGAAGACATTCCTGAGAGGAAGTGTATTGTTTCTTTCAACTGATCATTAAATATTAAAAAAAAAAAACCTGACTGAATATGTTTTGGGGCTTCCCATGCCATCAGAACAGACCCCGTCCAAAAGGAAAAAAAGTTTCTTATTCTGCAAATGTCAGTGTCAACCTGAAAAACCTTGAGCTGTTATAGGGGAAACTAACAGTCTCTGAAGAGAATATCATTTACAAGGAAAGGTAAAGAGATTAGAAGAACAGGATTTAATGACCTTTAAACTCTCTTCACCTAAAAACCTAGAATACCACAAAATTAAGCTCAAAAAAGCCTCACTTGGTTGTACTTGGTAAATAGGTGGAATGAAGACATGTCTTTCTTTTGATTTGTATATTAACCATATCTAGCTCTTGGAATGAAGTTAAAGTCCTGCTCCTCATTTTCTAATAGTTAAATGAGCTGCTCTAAGTCCTCAAAAACACACTGAGATACTGTAGTTCTTGAATGGTAAATGCTATATATAAATCAATTTTCTTCTCCAGAAGAATATATTACCAATATTTTGTTTATCCCCTGCAAAGTCATTCATTTGGATTATATTTATTTATCTCTGTTGGATCATCTCCTATTTAAAGTATACAGAGAACAAAATAGAATATTGTTACTTTAGTGTGGATAGCTTAAATATTTAGGGAAAATAGCCTTTAAACATATAATTCACCAATCAATCACAGGTGCTTTAATGAGTGACAGCACAGATTACACTATGCTGTTTACACTATGGATATTTATTGGGCTCGTATCTATGTATTTGAAATTTATAAGAAAAATGAAAGACCTTTGAGTTTGTGAAAGAAATGTTCATTATTTTCTCTAATTAAATAGAAAGACAGTGATAGTGAAGGTTGAACATAGGATTGAGACTCCACAGAGAACATTTAGACACTTAATTTGAATGCATGGTCCTTCCCAGTCAGTGGTTTTGAACATTTCCTCACCTTATTTCACATTTGTGCTATCTTTCAGTAGCTGAGAAGAAATGCGTAAATCTATATTTAGAAGGGATAATGCAGTTTGTCCAACTGCCTACAGCAGCAGAATTTAGCTAACATCCAGATTACCTTATAACATTTTTTACTTTGCACACCAAATTAAAAGGAAAAACATAGTATCCTTATTTATTATAATCATCATATGCATATTGGTCTTTCATATGGTAAGATCATTTGGGAAATCCCAATGGAAATATCTTGTGTTTGTGATTGAGAATCATGGGGCCTCACCTCCGAGCTTAGCACTGAGGAGCAGGTTTTCTTTTTTGTCTAAGGGTGTTTTTTTCTTCTTAATTTATTACCATTGCTTCTCTTCCACTTCCTTGCTTTAGCGGGCCTTAAACAACATTGTTCACTTCCGTTTATAAAGCAATACTATACCTACCTATGTACTGCAGTGATTCTCAGAACTTTGTTTGCATTAGAATCACCTGGAGGGTTTGTTAAACTACCAAATGTTGGGCTTCAATCCAAGAAATCCTAATTTAATAGATTTGCAGTTGTGGTGGGGAAAGATGATGGCTTTTATTTACTTAAAGTTCTTCTGTGCTTCTCATGCCATTGCTGTTGTCCACAGTCCACTTTCAGAGCCACTAGATATATAGTCAACACAGAAGAAAATTCCCCCAACCCCCAGTGAAGTACAAAGCAGTTTTCATAAGTGATTGTGTTGGCTCTAGATGGTTGTCTCTGTTCTCCTAACTCTTTTATTTCTATTATGGTTCCGGCTATTAAAGATACGTATCTCGTAGTTATCTTGTGTGCTGGTAACCTGAGGTTATTCCTAATGCATCTGTTTACATTTCCTACCAATCACTCAATCACTCACCTACACAACCACAGATCTCCAAATGCCTTGCTCCTTCTTGCTGTTTGCTTTTTCTCCAATTACCCTCTCCTCAAAGAGCTATTACCTAAACTCTTAATCTAAAATAACACCTCCTTTTCTTTCTACATTGCATTTTTAACATATTTCAAATAATATTGACTCATGCCTCCTTTATGTGGGGACCTTACTGTTAAATTTTTAATAGTTATAATTCTGAAATATAGAACAGTGCCTAGGACAGTTTAATTCTGGAAGTGATATAGTATAAAAAGCAAATTAAAACTGACAATCATAAAAATTTCAGAAATAAGAATTTATGGTAGTTTATTATAATTTACTTCAATTTAAGGCTAAGGCTTGTGAGTGTCTTCAGTATGTTGGTAAATAGCTGACATTTGCCTTAAGTTACAAACAATAATGTCCAGAATAATAATTACTGAGTCCAAAAGAATTATTTCCAGTCTTGGGTCCTCCTTTTATGACCCATGAAACTTTAGCAAAGGTGTACACTTGAGTTCTTAACAAATAATTTTATTAGTCTGGCAACACAGACTTTCCATCCTCTGAGAACTGAGGTGCTTTAAAATGGTATGTGAGAATGGTTTGTGAAGTGCTTTAAATGAAATACAAAGGTAATGAATCACACTTGCACATTTTTACCTGCAAAAGTAAAAATGACAGAATTCATTATTATATTGACCTCCTTTTCAAAGAGAGAATACTAGGTTGTGTTCCACAAGACATAGGAAAGGAAATGAGACAAAATAATGAGAAAATCAATGTTAACCAAAAATCTCCTCCAAATACATGATTACATAAGATTCCTCAAAAATAACTTGTTATTCCTGATTATTGATCTTTAATGTTTTGTATTTCTGGAGAATTCTAGGACTTTTTTTCCTTTATAATTAGGAAGGAAAGTTTAAAGCATTCAAATTGAGTTCTCTTTATTGTGTTCTAAAAGAGAAAATGAAACTCAAGTGGATTTAATATAAGGAGGTAGTTATTTGACAGGCTGTGAAACAGTGGCCAAAGTTCAAGGGGCAGACCACAGGAAAGACAGAAGATTTATAACCAGATTATTGTATTTCTCCAGAAACTACTTTACAAGGGTACCAAATCCTGATTTCTTGGCAAAAACATGCCTTTTTCCCCTAGTTTCTATAGTCTCATTGGAATAATGCTAAATAGTAATGCATAAGTTTTAAGGTAACTGTTCAATATTCTGTAAGTTAAGAATCATTCTATTTATTGTTTCACATGAACAGTTATATTGTAGAATGAATTGTATTTATATAAACATCTAAAATTTTTGCCATAGCTTTGTATTTTAAATTGTATGTGTGATAAGATTTTCTTGTGTCATGTAAGAGGCTGACATGAAATGAAGAATTACTTTGTGTTGTTTTATTATGAAAGATGTCTCTGTTCAAAATTCTCATAATTATATACTGGAGAAGCAACTATTGAAACACAGTGTGAAAAAGAAACTTCAGGAAGTGAGGAACTTTGATTCTGGCTCCAAATCAGACACACTAACTACATTGAAAGCTAGAATTCATTTCCCAAAATGTATAATGTAGACTTGGATGATTCTAAGTCCCTTTCAAGAGCTGTATTTCAAACACTGATTTGGGGGTAAATTATGTTGTGTGGATGCTGAGACAGGCTCATATGTATGCAAGATTTCTTCAAATAATTCAGACACACCTTTTCAAAAGAAATTTCTGTGTATGAATTGGGGAAAATACTTGGATAGAGTATAAGGCCATGGTTATCAGAGAGGCATTCTGGGGAGTCTTTGCAGTGCCATGGTTCACAGAACAGGAAACTCTGACACAGCAACTCTTCAAATATCATATGATTTTACCTATAAGTGGAACCTAATCAACAAAACAAACAAGTGAGCAAAATATAACCAGAGACATTGAAATAAAGAACAAACTGATAGTAATGAGAGGGGAAGTAGGAAGAGGATGATGGGGGAAATAAGGGAAGGAGAGTCAAGGTATGTATATAAATGACCCATGGACAGATCCAAAGGGGGTAGGATCCGGGGTGGGAGGCAGGGATGTGTGAGATACTGGGGGAGTGGTGGGGAAAAAATGGAGACAATTGCAGTTGAACAACAATTAAAAAAAAGAAAAAAAGAAAAGAACTCCCTATGTATGAACTAGGGAAAAGACTTGGGTAGATTACAAGGCCATGGTTATCAGAGAAGCATCCTGGGGAGTTTTTGCAATGTCATGGTTAACAAATCAGGCTCTGACTCAGCAACTCTTTTGATCATAGACCCCGTGAATGCTCATCTGCTTGGAGTTCTGTCTGTCCAGGTCATCATGTCAGACTCCAACAACACTGGCACCTCCTTCTTCCTATCAGGCCTCCCAGGCCTTGAGGCTGTGTACACCTGGCTCTCCATCCCTCTGTGTGCCATGTATGTGGCATCTCTGGCAGGAAACAGCCTGATCCTCTGGGTGGTGAGGTCAGAGCCCTCCCTGCACCAGCCCATGTACTACTTTCTGTCCATGCTGGCAGTGACTGACCTGGGCCTGTCTGCCTCCACACTGCCCACCATGCTCACCATCTACATGCTGGGTCTCAGGGAGGTGGCAGTGGATGTGTGTCTGGCCCAGCTCTTCTTCATCCACACCTTCTCCATCATGGAGTCCTCTGTGCTGCTGACCATGGCCTTTGACCGTGTTGTGGCCATCAGCAACCCCCTGCGCTATGGCACCATCCTCACGAGTCCCCGGATTGCCAGCTTGGGCCTGGCCATCATGCTGCGCAGCGTGGGTCTCCACATCCCGGCTCCCATCATGCTGAAGAAGCTGCCTTACTGCCGCAGTCGCCTGCTTTCCCACTCCTACTGCCTGCACCCTGATGTCATGAAGCTGGCCTGTGCTAACACCCACATCAACAGTGCCTATGGTCTCTTTGTGGTACTCTCCACACTGGGTGTGGATGCAGTGCTCATTGTCCTCTCCTATGGTCTGATCCTCTACACAGTGTTGTCCATTGCCTCCAAAGCAGAGCGCCTCAAAGCCCTCAACACTTGTGTCTCCCACCTCTGTGCTGTGCTGCTCTTCTACACACCTATGATTGGCTTATCCATGATCCATAGATTTGGTAGGTGGGCTTCTCCATGCAGCCATGTACTGCTCTCCTATCTTCACTTTCTCACTCCTCCAGTGCTTAATCCCATGGTTTACACCATTAAGACCAAGCAGATCCGCCTGAGGATCCTGCGCCTTTTCGGGTTGGGTGGCACTGGCATCAGAGATTCTCAGGATCATTAAGTCCTTCTAGAGAGAGAAGGCAGAAGAAACTTTAGTCCTAGTTGCTTCATGCACCACTGAGCATAAAGTGAGTCCCATAGTCAGGAGAGGAATGTCAGAGAGAAACAGTATCATCTTCCACATGAAGTTCTCATTCATGAGAAGAAATAACCATGTTCTCGTTTATTAATTTTTCATTAAACAAAGTTTTGTTCAATACCTAGCATGTTAAATGCACTGTTGCAAGCCCTGAAGAAAGAAATATACCTGAGATACAGTTTCTGGGTTAGAGAAAAGTCTCATATTATCTAAAGCTCAAGAAGGGAACTATTATCTAAATGTAAAAGAAATCTAAAGAATAACTAGAAACTTAACAAAGGTATAAAGATGCACATAATGCTTTGCCTGAGACTGTAGGAGAAATGATTACTGGAAAATGGGGTGATGGGCATGTTTGGAATTCAGTGATATTAAAAGTATTTTTGAAAAATTCCCATTAAGTATAATCCCCATGAGGAAAGATATTCTTTACCTCTTGTTAGCTATTGCATTCCCATTTCTAAATATGGCCCTTTCCATATACTAGATATTTGGTTTGTATTTGCTGAATGAAAGAATAAATGAATGAATAGGTTACAGTTTTGAGAAACACTTCTGGCCAGGTTAAATGTTCATGTAATTCTAGATATGTGAGAATCAAGCTTGTGAGGACTTCTTTTTTTTAAGATTTTATTTATTATTTATTTTTAGAGAGGGAAGGGGGGAGAGAGAGAGAGAGAGAGAGAGAGAGAGAGAGAGAGAGAGAGAGAGAGAGAGAGAGAGAGAGAGAGAGAGAGAGAGAGAGACATTAATGTGCTGTTGCTGGGGGCTGTGGCCTGCAACCCAGGCATGTACCCTGACTGGGAATTGAACCTGCAACACTTTGGTTCGCAGCCCACGCTCAATCCATTGAGCTATGCCAGCCAGGGCCTAGGGCTTCTTAATTTGACTTCTAGACTATTTCACCCTATATTTTTGCCATCTCTGATTTTAATAGAAAATTTTGTATGATTTTATTTTATCTCTTTTGGGTTATCAACTATATATTTTGCTTATTGCTGGTTACTCTTGAGTTTGCATTATACATTTTGAACTACTTTAAATCTATTTTCAAATATCTCTAGACTATTCACATGTAATGCAAGTATCTGACACAAAGTATCCCCAATTCTTCCCTCATTTCGCTAGTGATGTGACTCCTTTCACTTATTCATATGCTATAATCACCCAGAACATTGTTTCTTTTATTGCTTTAAGTAAAAGGGGTTTTTATAGATTAACTAAGATTTAAAGAAATGAGATGGTACTTTATGTTTATTTATTCCTTCTTTGACACAGTACCTTTCTTAGTGGAAAATCAAGGTTCTGACATATAATGTGTCTATTGTCTGAAAGATTCTTTAAAATTTTGTTCTGGGTAAATCAGCTGGCTTGCATGCTTTCATGAATTTCTTTCTTTCTTATTATTTTTTCTTTCTTGGTTTGATAAAATCTGCCTCTGCATATATCCCTTAAAGTCTGAAGAATATTTTACCTGGATATACAATTCTAAGTTAGAGATTTTCTTCCTTTAAATATTTAAAATATTTCATTCTGCTCTTCTCTTGCTTGTCTTGAATTTGAGGAGAATTTTGTTATAGTTCTTACCCTTGTTCCTCTACTGCTAAGTGTTCCCTCCACAACAATGGATTATTTCAAGATTTATTTTTCTAGTTTTTGGTTTCTTTAGTTTAATGAGGTTTAACTAGATGCACCTATTTCGTATTATTCCTTCTTGATGTTAGATGGAATTCCTGAATCTATAGTTTGGTTTCAGTCATTAATTATGGAAGTTCTCAGTCATTATCACTTCATATATTATTTCTGCTTTGTTCCCCTTTTTTCTTCTAGTATTCAAATTACATGTATATTACACCTTTCCATGTTGTTTCATAGTTTTTGGATCTGTTGTTTCATATTTTTATTTTTGTCTTCTGTATTTCAGTTGGAAAATTTCTATTGACTGAGATTCGAGTTGATTCATTTTTATTATTTTTTTAGTCTACTGATTAGCTCATCAAAGGAACTGTTCATTTTTATTACAATGTTTTTTTTTATTTCTAGCATGTTCTCTTGATTCTTCCTTAGAGTTTGTCTTTCTATTTACAATGCCACCAGTTATTTTCACATTTACTATTTCCATTAGAGCACTTATTACATTTTTCATAGATATTTAAAGTGTCTATTTGATATTACATATCCTTCAGATTCTTTTTATGATGAGTGGCTTTGTCTCTTTGGAGCATGCTTTTATTTTCCTTTTTACACATTTTGTGACTTTTATTCAAATTAAGGCATGTTTAATTGGGCAATAGAAAGTAGGTACATGTGCCTTTTTAAAAATATTTTATTTATTTATTTTTACAGATAGAGAAAGGGAGGGGAAAAGAGAGGGAGAGAAACATCAATGTGTGGTTGCCTCTTGAACACCCCCTACTGGGGACCTGGCCCAAAACCCAGGCACGTTCCCTGCCTGGGAATCGAACTGGTGACCCTTTGGTTTGAAGGCTGGCATGCCATCCATTGAGCCACACCAGCCAGGGCAGCAAGTAGGTACATGTGTCTTTAATGAGAAGATTGTGTTACTGTGACTAGTAATTGGATTGTGTTTGCTGTAGCTATAGATATAGGCAGCTATTTTCCTTGTTCTCCATTCCCTCCTTAATTTTAGGTTTTTCAATGTATTTTTCCTTAGGAAGAAATCAGTATTTTGCAGCTCTTTGTAGCTATGATTTGCTATTTATTTTCATACTGGAATCCTGTTGGGTTGGTGGCGAGGTTTCACATGTGGAGAAGGGAAACATAATAATCTTCCAGTGAAATCTTAAAAGAGTTGAGATTTTACTGGATCTGCTTCTCAGATTTGTGACCTTTACAAGGATTTCTTTATAGGTCTTCTTTTTTTCCTCAGGCTCCTTTTTTTTTTTCCCTTCTCTGACTACAACATGCTCAGTATATTGAATAATGAACCCCTTTTCCACTTAGATAAAACAGGAAAATTGAGGGAGCCGGACATGAGGGGAATTTCCTTCCCCCAGTTGGGATAAAGTTCTGAAAGTATTTCCCTTGACACATTAGACTGTTACGGGGAGGCATCAGGGGATCTTTCACAATGGTTACCCTTCCATTCCCTCTGCCTGAGCCACAAGCATATCTTTCTTTGTTTCCAGTCTATATATAAGTTTATAGAGCATAGAAATATTGTGGATGACCTAAGAATGGGTCTTGTGGCTGCAAGTATAAAAACATAGTTAAAACAAAATTAAGTAACATATAAAATTATTTTAATTGTTCAAGAACAGGCAATAAAAGAGCAGGAATACAGCCTAACTTCCTGAGTAACAGAATGTTGGATAAGGAAAGAAATCAGGAATGGAATTAAGCCAAGTCCTCCCCCATTCACACACACAGAAACATATATGCACCCCAAGACAGTTTTTTTTCTCTCGGCATATTTTTATGCCAGTTCTACTTTGCCATATTCTCAGATCACAGATATCCCTGAATGTTTGCTGATGTCCAGCTGTGAGATAATATCCCATTCACAACGGAGGAAGTCTACTTTGAGCAAAAGTGTGGATGTGCATGAGGAACAATGACTCCCAGGATTACTCTCTAACTCATTCATTCTCTCAGTAGAAGGGTAGTAGAACTTTTTACAAGGAATAAAATTATCCAAGTGAATGAAGAATAAACTTATTCACTTATTCTCTGACTTGTTCCAGGGCTAACCACATAGATAGTGGCTATAAAATGGGATCTAGTTCTACTAAACTGAGAAAGATCTAAAAATAGGACAAGATAAATTAAAATCCCATCCTCATTACATGGGAAAATGGGATAGACCACTGAACACGAGCTATAATTGTTTAGGGAATTTCAAGACAGACTTCCATTAAGTAATTCCATTTAAGGTGAATTTTGAATAGCCATTTCTCTGAAGAAGGCATACAGATTACCACCAAGTATATAAAAAGGGATTCAACATTACTAATCATCAGGGAAATTCAAATCGAAACTGCAATGAGATATCACCTCACACTTGTTAGGATGGCTTATTAGAAAAAAAAGAGAGAAGTGTTGACAAGGATCTGGGGAAAAGGGAACCCTTATATATGTTGGTGGGAATGTAAATCAGCGCTGACACTATGGAAAACAGTATGGTGATTCCTCCAAAATTAAAAATAGATCTACCATAAAAGCCAGTAATCTCTCTAGAGCCCATTGCTAAACTCATTTGGTGTGACAACCACTAAGCCCTACTGGGAATTTTCTGTGTTCCCCAAGGAAAGGATGTTTAGGGTACTGGCCAAGTTGCTATAAAATTACCCTTCCCTGTGAACTCCTTGCCATTGAACTCTTACTGAGGAGAGACACAGTCCCAGCTTTGTTGCTATAAAGGGTGAGTCAGTATTGTGGGCCTTGGAAAGGAAAATAAAACAGCCTTATGTTTCAGGATGGTAACAAAAAGTTTTGTGATGAAGCTCTGACTATCAGTGCACCAGATGTCTAGAGAGACAACAGAGGACCTGTGTTCTAAAGTACCATTTTGGAGCTATTAGGAGTTATAGTTTCCTTAAGACTTTCTCCAAATGTACTGCCACAAGAGAGAACATGAAGAGAATATACAATTAGGAGAGGCTAGAGACTCACAGGTAAATATTCTCTATCTCCTTTTTCTTAAATTATATATATATATATATATATATATATATATATATATATGTGTGTGTGTGTGTGTGTGTGTGTGTGTGTGTGTGTGTGTGTGTGTGTAAAATTATTCTATGGGTAAATTGATTCTCTGTCCTTCAAATAAACCAAGTTAAGATTAAGGAAGGTCCATGGAAAAGAATGGAATAGGAACAAAGCTGTGATAGAATGAGAGTCTAAAAAGATAGGGTTTCTCTCTTCTTAAACTAACAACAACAACAAAAACAATGAAA